CTGGAGCCATCCATGACCCCGTGCTCTGTAAAGCTCAGCTTCAATTCGGCCCTCACCACATTCATCAGCATCATTAACTGAAAAGAACAGGTGCCACAGTGGCTATGGCTCAATGATCCAAGGGCCAAAGCCCAAACGCCAGTGCTACCAGTGCTAAGATTAGCACGTGCTAACGGACTCCATACCCTGGACCATCGGGGCAAAACCAAAACGAAAGCCCTTTCCATCACCGTTTGCCTCGGCCAGATTCCCTTTGCCGAGACATCCAAGGAAGGCCGGCCGGTGTGCCGCGGACGGAGCACGCGCGGCGGCGCGGGGGCCGGCAGTGGCAGGCTCTGAGTCCGAGTGACGGGGACGGGCCGGGGAGGTCCGTGGCCCACACACCACGTGGGACGCCCGGACAAGCGGTTGGATGGCCCGCGACGCGACTCGGACAGGCCCGGCGGCCACGAGGGCCCGCGCGTGTCGCGTGGCGAGTGGCGTGGCGAGGACGACCAAAAGATCCTCGGCGCGCGGCTGGCAGTGGCGGGGGCCGCGGGCAGCAGCAGGGCCCACGGCGGGCGGGGCAGGTCCGGTACGCCGTGGCGCGCGATTCCGACCGTCAGTTTCCCCCGCGATGTGTCCCACTGCCTGCCACGGGAGAAAAGGACACGGGCCACTTGCTCTTGCTCTGTGCCGTCGGTCAGGGAGTAAGGGTAGTCCATCTAGAAGTTTCTATAACATAACATAAGATATCGCATCAAAAAAATACTATTTTTCAATCTATGATTTCTATGAATAATAATTATTTTCTCTTTTTCTCTTCTAACTCTATCTTCTTTCTCCAATGGGAATGCGACATAAGCTCCCTAGAAACTGGTGGTTTCTCCCCAATGACGATTTCATAGTTTCTTGGTGCATTGGGTCAAGAGTAGATCTGATTTCTTCATGAAGAAACCATTTCTATAATTTTTGCTCTCTTTCTTTATTAATTACGTTGCTATATCAGCGTTTTATCTACGTAGCAAGTTATTTAATAAGGATAGAAACCACCGTTAATAGGACTGCCTAAACAGTGCACTGTTTTGTTCCCTACCGTGCTAGCTAGTGTAGTGATAATAATAGTAATATCAATGTTTCAAAAAAAGAAAGTGCCCTGGTAAGCAAGTTTGTTTGGCGGCACGGTAAGACCGAGTTGCCCGCCAACACACGGCAAGTTTGGATCGGTCACTCTTCTAATTTCACAGCGTGCTGGCTATTTGAGTTTTTTTGTTTTATTGTTTTTCCTTAGGTATAAGTTGCATCTAGGGTTCTGTTTGGGAACGCTTATCTGATAATCGATTTTAATTTGATCATGATTTTTTGATAAGCTGCGATGAAAAGAATATGTTGTCTAAACAATCGAGGGTGTTTGACAATCCTGATTATTGCCCTTAGATTGTCTGTCCTAAATGCAAAATGACCTATATGCCCCTGAGGCAGATGACCCCTCATTTGTTCACTGAATACGAGCTGAAAACAGTTATGCTCCAATTCCTAAAACAAAAAGCATTCAACATCTGCACAGACATATCCCTAGCCATGGTACTAATCTATAATTCGTCCTTTTGCAATACAAATCAAAGCAATCCATAGATCGGGTATGAAGAAAAATACCTCAACAAATGAAGGGAACACAATACAAATCAAAGCAATCCATAGATCGGGTATGAAGAAAAGTACCTCAACAAATCAAAGAAACCAGGATGGAGGGGATCATAGACGAAGCGGAACACCTTCAGTCGGAGCAGAGGAAAGGGCGACGAGGAGCCAGCCTCCACCAACCGAACAGCTGCGGGTGCCTCCGGAGAAGATGACGGGGACAGGGAGCGGGAGGGGCGGCGCGAGCGCAGGCGGCGGTGAACCCTAGCGAGCGAGTCGCGAGTGGAGGGGAGCGGACGGGAGACGGACGGGTGAGCGGAGGGGCATAGGGTGGAAAAAGAGTCACGGTGTGGGAACGCAATCGCTCGCTCGCGGTCCGCAAAACGCCGATACAAGTTCATTTAGGATTATTTTCACCTCCCCGATGATTACATAATCTAAAATAAGCTAGGGTGTTTGGGTGAGATTCTCGCTTCTTCTCAACTCGATTTCGATTATAAGCGAAAACAAACACACCCTAGGAAGGGTTCACTTGCACGAGTGAAAGAGTGATCCCCTGACTAACACACGTACAAATTCTATTATGTACCGAAAATTTCGGATATGGCACGGACGTGAGGGCCATGATGGCTCGAGTGGGAGGAGCGGAGTGGGGTGGGGTGGGCGGGCGGCGAGCCGGTGGGGAAAGGAGTCGGCTGTGTCTCGATTTAGCGGCTAAAAAGTTCAGGCGTGTCACGTTCGGAGGCTAACTAGAGGATTAAACATAAGATAATTATTAAACTAAGTGCACAGGAGTAGCCTAATTAGCGAGACGAATCTATTTTTAATTAATTCATAATTAGGTAGCACCACATTGTCAAATCACATATTCGTCTCACAAATTAGCATCAATCTGTTTAATTAGCTTTATAATTAGTATATGTTTAATACTTCTAATTAATATCAAAGATTTGATACGATAGGATTAAACTTTTGCACGATGGAAACAGCCGACGCGTGTCTACGAAGCCGATTACAGCCTATGTACTCTAGCTCGTAAAAGGTAACACTGCATTCCAAGGAGTCCCCACAAGATTTTTTTTTTATTCTCAACGAAAGGCTAGAAGTTATAGGGCCTGCTTCGACTGATATTAAAATCGGCCATAAAGCCAACTAAAGCTATTTTGTTGTAAAAAAAAATACTATAAATTTTAGCAGCTAAGTTCGAGCGAACATGCCCCAATCTCACGTAAGATCGAACCACCAATGCAAGCGACGACTAGCTAGGCATTTTGATCCGCGAAAAAACGCAGAAACGGACGGGGCCGGGCCGCGAGCGTGCGCGTCACGCCGGACGGCGAGCGGTGGCGCGGTGGAAGGAGATGGGGCGGTGCGGGGTGGGGTCTGTCACTTTTTATTATGTTACCGTGCGCCGGGCTCCTCCCCTCCCACATGGGCAGGCGCGGGTGCACGGGGAGCAGGGCACACGCGTAGCGCCAAGCGAGGCCGCGGCCACCTCGTCCACCGTTCGTCCGTCCATTCCAGCGCCTCGCCTTCCTCCTTCCCCACTCCATTCCAACGCAACGGCCGCGCCCCGCTTTATAAGCCGCCGCCCGCGCCACATCACCACCGTCGCGGCCACCCATTCTCTCGTCCCTCCCTCCGACTCCCGTCGCAATCGATCCATCCATCCGTCGGCTGCTCCGTCCGTCCCTCCCCCCGTAGGTAACCCAGCTCTGTTTGTTCCTCTATCTCCTTCGTTGGCATGCCGTCGATCGCTTGGTTCCGCCGCTGCGCATTTTGGTTCTAAAGTCGACGGAGGCCTCTGCTTGAGAGGCGGCCAACTGCGCCCGGGTGCCCTCAACGAATGCTGCCGTGTGTGTCATGTTATTAGCTGTGTATAGGAGTTTGGCGCCGGCGGCAGGAGGGGCGGGGGATCAGGTGGGTGCCGGTGAGTGTGTCCGCGAAGAAGGGATCAGCCCTCGCCGAGGTGAGGGACAAGGAGGAGAGATTCGTTACGAATTCTTCAGAGAACTGACTAGGCGGCAGCGGCGGCGGCTAGGATCCTAGTCCTTGGTTTCTCGCGCTCTGTGGATGAATTTCCCTGAATTGTTTTTTTTTTTTGGTTTCCAGTTATATTTTGCCTGAATTGATGTTGCAGCAAATGTTATTGAGTTCTTGTACAATCTCCCAAGATTTCATTCTTGGTTGCCGCTCCCTACAACTAGAAGGCTGTACTTTTCTCGGTGGATGGGGGGAGTCGACGTGTTCTTCCACCTATTTCTTTTCGTCTCCCAACAACAAAAAGGGATCCTCCGTTTCGTTCTTGGATCCTGCGCAGTTGGTTTTATACTTGTATTTGACTTGTGGCCAGCCCCGTTTCATCATTGTTGTCCTTAAACAGTTCCGGAAGTGCCAACTTTTTTCCTTGTGTCGAGAGGCTCCACGCTTCCACTTGGTTCTGAAGCACTTTCTGCAATCTCTCCCATTTTTGGTATGAATCTGTCCTGCAGATGTTCTGGTTTGCTGCACTTGTTTTTAGGTGGCTGGGTTGCTATTTGGGGTTGTTACTTTTTTTTTTTTTGAGAATGGGGTTGTTACTATTTGTTCTGGTTACTTTTCATCCCTCGCTAAGTTTTTCGAAGCCCGGGCGATCCTCATTGTGCAAGAATATTTACCTAGCAAATTATAACATTTTTCTTTGATATATAGGAATTTTTCTTTTGAAGTTTGCCGAGGAGCCCGGCCGGCCGCCCGGGGTGGCCGGGCGGTGGCTCCGCCACTGCCTCGCTTGTGGAATAATTTAGGTCCTTGAAGAGCTCGAGTATCATTTTCAGTTGCAATTTTCCCCTATTCTACTTTGCTTCTATTTGAGTTTAGTGTGTAATAAGGAAGAAAAGATCCAACCCAACTGGGCCTGAGACTGAGATGTTGTGATTCACATGCCTATCTCCCGAAAAGAAGGCAGAAGGTCCTTTTTATAGCTTTCCTCATTCTGATGTGTGCTTCCATCCTTCGCTTTCAAAATCTCCGTGGTTGTACATAATTGCACAACCGCCCTTTACCCAGTCCGTTATTCCGTGACTACGTTGATGATCCCTTGTTACCACAATAAGGATTCTGCAAAAAGTATGGCTCCTTTTTCCCTTTGGATGATGTGGGGATTTATCAGGAACTAGGCAAGAAAGTCAGTTTTTTTTTTAATCTTGTTCCAAACCAGTTTTTGCCCTGCCTCTTGATTTAGTACGTAGTGAAATAGATTTCCAGGACTGCTTGGTGGTTAATGGTTGTGATTGTGCAGGTGTTCTTCAGATATGCAGTTCAGCAGTGTGTTTCCCCTAGAGGGAAAAGCATGTATGAGCCCAGTGAGGAGAGGCGGTGAAGGTTCTTGGAGTGGGAGGATGAGGATCGGGAACTCCTGCAGCATCAGGCGCAACAAGGCATTGAGGAGGATGTGTTCTGGTGCAAGGGGTGCTGTGAGCAGCGCTCAGTGCGTGCTCACATCAGATGCTGGCCCAGACACTCTTGTAAGTTTCATCCTGTGGATAACAGTGTTGGTGTTTCATCACAGCCCCTTTTTTTTTTTTTTGATTTGATGTTAGCTGCTAGAATTCTCAATTTCTGGATGCAAAAACTTACAGGTCGTCCGAACCTCCTTTCGGAGGAGTTATGCTGAACCTAACGAAGTTGCTGCCGTCATTTTGGGTGGTGGTACTGGGACTCAGCTTTTCCCTCTCACAAGCACAAGGGCCACTCCTGCTGTAAGATGACACACTTTATTGGCTTCAAGTTGCAAGAAGTACCAATTTAAGAGACATCTTCAGGCTTATTAAGTAGACAGGATCTAGAGATCTCTATCAATCTCCAGCTTTTTTTTTAAGCTGATACACCTCTACTGCAGAAGGAACCAAAAGTCTGTCGCTTTGCTAGAAATGTTCAGTTTGATTTGCCAGCTCTAAGTTTTTAAAGCAGACATGAGTTCTCTCTCTCTTCTTTTTTCAACTGTCCTATGCACATGGTAATTGATTTGGACAAAGGTAGTTCAACTATAGTTCCTGCAGTAGCAAGGTTTCCGTATCGTGTTTAAATTATTAATTAGTGTCAGGGGCCCAATCCCCCCACCCCCCATGACGCCTTCCACTACTTTAACGGACATGATGTCAAACTCAAGGCTATCCATGATTATCCATCTCCATCCATATAGTCATTTCAGACATCTTTAAATCAGTGGTCTGAATCTTGTTTCTTTCCTTTTGTTGCATTACTTAGGTTCCTATTGGAGGATGTTACAGGCTTATTGATATCCCCATGAGCAACTGTTTCAACAGTGGCATAAACAAGATATTCGTCATGACTCAGTTCAACTCAACTTCTCTTAACCGTCACATTCACCGTACCTATCTTGGTGGGGGAATCAACTTCACTGATGGATCTGTTGAGGTAAGTCACCTCAAATTTGATTGGTTTAGTCAAGAGCTTGCAAATATTCTTCTCATGATTTCCATCTTGGAGCTTGGTTAAATTTCTTTATTTGATTAAGCATACATTACCGATATAATTTTGACAACATATAGGTGCTGGCTGCAACGCAAATGCCTGGGGAGGCTGCTGGTTGGTTCCAGGGCACAGCAGATGCTGTTAGAAAATTTATCTGGGTACTTGAGGTAATAATTATGTCCAGTGGCTGATGTTACTTTGCCTGACTTACTTCCATCCCTGAAACAATGTATCTTATGTTGTGTGTACTTCTTCAGGATTATTACAAGCATAAAGCTATAGAACACATTTTGATTTTGTCAGGAGATCAGCTCTATCGTATGGATTACATGGAGCTTGTGCAGGTTGGTGATACACTCCTGTATATTCTACTGTATGTGTATATGTTTTTATTTTAACTGCCTGATGCCCTGGCATTTACCATTTGCAGAAACATGTAGATGACAATGCGGACATTACTTTATCGTGCGCTCCTGTTGGAGAGAGGTATGTCATTACATCAGGTTTCTAATTTTTTCAGTACCTGTCATCAGAAAACTGGTGCGTATGCTGATTTTATTGTCTTTGTTTTGCAAGTCGAGCATCTGACTATGGATTAGTCAAGTTCGACAGTTCAGGCCGTGTAATTCAGTTCTCCGAGAAACCAAAGGGTGCTGCCTTGGAAGAAATGGTTAGCAATCATCTTACCACAGGGACTCAGATATATATTGGAACCTTCCAAGAATAACTTATCTTACAAAACTAGCACTATCTGAAATGTACACTGTTGCTCGTTGCAGAAAGTGGATACCAGCTTTCTCAATTTCGCCATTGACGACCCAACTAAATATCCCTATATTGCTTCAATGGGAGTCTACGTTTTTAAGAGAGATGTTCTTTTAGACCTTCTAAAGTAAGAGCTTTCTCTGTGTGGTCATACAGTTCCCATGTAGTCTGTGTTCTAACTGTAGCATTTATAGGTCAAGGTATGCTGAACTGCATGACTTTGGTTCTGAAATTCTGCCCAAAGCTTTACATGAGCACAATGTACAGGTAAAACCATTCCTTTGTGATTCACTTTCATTATTTGATAGATCACTGCCCAGTCAGGCAGTCAGCTTTGCACTGAGTCCAGACTCTATTAGGGTAGCAGTATGACATCAAATGCACAGACAGTTCATGTGACTTTGTTTGTCAGGCATATGTTTTCACTGACTACTGGGAGGACATTGGAACAATCAGATCATTCTTTGATGCAAACATGGCCCTCTGCGAGCAGGTATATTCTGTTTTCTCTTCCTTAGTTCTAATATGCACTATCTGTCCATGCATCTAGACTGAAAATGTCTTCAAATGATAAATTTCCATCCAGACTAACTGATACTATTTTCATCAATTCTCATGTGCCCCATCGCAGCCTCCAAAGTTTGAGTTCTACGATCCGAAAACGCCATTCTTCACTTCCCCTCGGTACTTGCCACCAACGAAGTCGGATAAGTGCAGGGTACGCGCTTCCCATGGAATGATGATGCCTACGATCTGTAAACTGTAATATGAGCTGTGCCTATTTGACCTTTGGATTCACGTGTGCAGATTAAAGACGCGATCATTTCACACGGCTGCTTCTTGCGTGAATGTGCCATTGAGCATTCTATCGTCGGTGTCCGTTCACGCCTAAACTCTGGATGCGAGCTCAAGGTATGCTTGCTCATCAACGAGACAGCGACTGAATTCACTCATACAATGACTGCTCAGTCTTGTTTTGAGCACCTGCAGATTGACACAAACGGTGCTTGCAGAATACCATGATGATGGGTGCGGATTTGTACGAGACCGAAGACGAGATTTCACGGCTACTGTCCGAGGGCAAGGTGCCCATTGGCGTAGGGGAGAACACAAAGATAAGGTGAGTGCTTGGCTTGAACCTCGAAACAACATACACGATTTTTAATTGATGGAAGAAAGAAATAGACTAGTAGTATTCCACATCATAACATGATGACCTAAGCTCGTCTGTCGATGCTTTGCAGCAACTGCATCATCGACATGAACGCGAGGGTTGGAAGGAACGTCTCCATAACAAATACCGAGGTGAGCAAATGGGGAGAGACAAGTTTCAGAGCTGAAATCTTTTTTTGTAAAAAAGAAGACACGTCTTTTTTCGAAAAAAAGACCAACAACAACACTGCTCAATGATTCTACTTGCATCATATCTTCTCTGCCAGGGCGTCGAAGAAGCTGACCGGCCGGAGCAAGGGTACTACATCAGGTCTGGGATCGTGGTGATCCTGAAGAACGCAACCATCAAGGATGGCACCGTCATATAGAGACTTAACCTACCCATGGTGCAAGGCTACAGGTTCTCATCACTCATCTGTCGTCGTCTTGAGAGTTAGTTTGAGGCGCCCGACCTTGCCTTGGGCTGATCGAGGGACAAGAACATAGGAAGAAGAAGGGCTGGTGCCGGATGCAATGGAAGACAAGAGAAATGGTTTGGTGCGGTAGCATTGGTTCCAGTAGCTCTTCCTGATGTTATATGTAGCGAGTAGTGTGAACAGTGCAATAAGCTGGGCGAGCAAAGCCGCAGCAACTCTTGGGGATCGTTGGTGCATCTTGTAAATAAACTCGGACACAACAAATGGAACCTGCCCCTCATCTCCATATCTGATTGACGGATTCACTCTCCGCTATAGCAGCTCCAGTCCATCGCAGCATATGCATTGCCTTGGCTTTGTTTGGGACTTCGTCGCTCTACCTTTTTCAGCTTCGTCTCTAAGGCCATGTTTAGTTGGCCACCGAATCGGCGTCGCCGGATTTCCTGGCGCTACAGTAGCGTTTTGTTTTTATTGGGTAATAATTGTTCGATCGTTACTAATTAGGCTTAAAACGTTCGTCTTGTAAAGTACAACCAAATTGTGCAATTAGTTTTTGATTTCATCAACATTTAGTACTCTATACATATACTGCAAGTTTGATGTGATGGAAAATTTTTTTTTTTGTATAGTGTCAAATTTAGGAATTGGGGTGAACTAAACAAGTGCCTAATTTACTAACTAAACAGGGCATGATGATAGGAAGGTTCTGACCTGGATCAATTCCGGAGAACAGAAGGTTACACCTACTTATTAATTTCCATTGAACGGAAGAGCTAAAAGAATAAAGCAAAATAAACCCTTGATATGCCAGGGTGGAAAAACACATGGAGAGTAGATCAGTTCATAGAGTAGGCCCTGTTTGGCCATGCTCTTTCGAGTCTCTGTGCTACAGTACCGGAAAAGCCCTACAAATCGTAACTTCTATCACCACTGTTTATTTTAGCAGGAGCTCTATGAATAGTGCTTCTACAGTCGAGGTGTAGGAAAAGCTGGAGCCGTAAGAAATGTGGTCGTGGGTGTGGATCCCTGAATGGCCCAGACCAGCCCACCTAACATTTTTTTCGATTAAAGGTGTCTAGAAATATTACCTCAAAACATTGTAAATGTAAATAAATACTTTCAGCCCGCTCGCTGCAGGTTATTAGGCCGCGGTTGTTTGCCGTACTACCTACAATATATAACAATATATAGTACTCAATCCATCCCAGACGTTTGACTTTTTTAACACCAAGTTTAACCACTCGTTTTATTCAAAAATTTGTATAAAATATCACTTCTTTCGTCGTTGTTTGATTTATTAATAAAAATTCTTCAAGAATGACTTAAATTTGACTATATTTGCATAATTTTTTTTGAATAAGACGAGTGGTCAAACTTGGGACCAAAAAAGTCAAACGTCTTACAATTTAGGATGGATGGAGTAGTAGTTTTCTTGCAGCTGCAGCCCGAAGAACCTGTAGCGAGCAGGGCCTTTATTTGCCACCTCCTTCCAAAAACAAAATGGAATTCATGCTTTCTAAAGATTCAAACTATCCCAAGTTCATCCAAATATATACACATATAAGTATTAATTTATACATGATATTAAATAACAAAGGGGTTCTTCCATCTTTTTTTTACTTCTAACTGCCCTATGTGCCTGATATGAGTCTTGGAATCAAGGCCTGTGCTCATACGAGTTGGAACAACTCGCGTTCATCGATGGTACAACGTCCGATTTCAAAACATATTGGGTGCATTGTATGTGCACATTTGTTGCTATTTACGATGAGTAATAAGGTCCTGTTTGGTTGAGATGTGGCTTTTGAAAAAGCTATCGTGAGCTGTGGCTTTTGGAAAAGTTACCATGGAAAAGCAAGTAGACCGCTTGGTTACACAACTGTGGCTTTTAGAAAAGGTTCTCTCACTTACGGACGGACCCCACGTGTCATAGACGACAACATGCATCTTCCTCCTCTCGACAGCAAGGATGTCGCACTCACCCGCTGGGGCAGGCCGCGCTCGCCCGTTGGGGCTGGCCGTGCCGCGCTCATTGGCCGAGGCTAGCCGTGCCGAGCTCGCTAGTCGAGGCTGGCTGTGCCGCGCTCTCCAACCGAGCCTGTCCACGCCGCGTCGGCCTGGGAGGCATGGGGGCGGAGCTGAGGCGCGTCGTGTGGGCGGCGGCCGGGTTCGCCGGAAGTGGAGGGGCAACGGGGCCGCGGAGCTAAGGCGAGGGCGTGCGGGAGGCAGCAGGCTTCGCCGGAGATGAAGGGGCAGCGGGCCGCGACGTCCTCTATGCTGGGCCGCGCCTGCCGCCAGGGCTAGGGCCTGCGTCCCGAGCGATTCGCCGCGCCGCGCTGACCGTGGCTGCCCGCGCTCGCTGGCCGGGGCTCCCGCGCTCGCCAGCAGCGAAGGAGGAAGGGAAGGAGCGAGGGAGGGAACGCCGGTCGCCTGTCGTGCCATTGGAGCCACGTCCGCACGACCGGAGCAGGCGCCGCCACCGGGATAGGACGCGCCACCGCTGGGATAGGACCACGCCGCCTCTAGGGATGGGAAAGAGATGCCCATGGCCGACAGGGGAGGATCCGGAGGGAGTTGCGGCGCCCCGATGAGGTCGATCGACTGCGCGGAGTCCACGGACGGGAGGAAGTCGCGACAGAAGGGGAAAAAACGAATCGTTATGTACCTAAGCAGTGGCAAATGGGACGAAAGGCACTGTTGGTGTAGATGCTGAAGATACCAGTGAGGCCCCTCGTGCTAAAGTTTTGGTGGAGACAAGGTGTCGCAGTCAACGAAGATATTGATGAAGATGCGTGTTATCGGTGTTAACGGCGGAGATGTCGAAGAAGCCTCTCTAGCTAACTGTTGGCATCGAAGGTTAGTCATTGCAGTCGTCAAAGATGATGGTGAGGCCCCTTACGTGGAAGTGTTGGTGTGGGTGAGTCCTTGTAGTAGTGTTAGCGAAGCCCCTCCTACTGAAGTGTTTGCTAGGAGTGACGTTGGAGGAACCTGTGAGGTATATGGGCCAAGTCTTCCCCTAAAAGAGACCCAATTAGTAGCTAGCGTAGTGTCATGTGAAATGCAACCTCACTAAGGGGTCATTTGTAAATAGTGCCCAATAGCATCAGAGCAAGGGACCTCTCCTCCCACTCATTTCCACATGTTCAAAATTGTAGTGTGTCCCCTCTCCACCACCGAGCTCTCTCCTCCCCCTCTCTTATTTAGAACTGTTAGTTCTAACATAATGGACTTGGAAACATATTCTCCCAGATATTCATGTATTTGAGTATTTGTGTTCATAAATTTTTTGTCTAGTTAAATATTTATGTGCACAAACTATTAAGAATTTTCATGTTTTTTATAAAACCGCAAAATAAATAGCTTCCGCTATAGCTAGCTATAACTTTTTATAGCTTTTGGAGAAGGTCGCCGCTAAATATCATAGCTCACTATTTGAAACATTAGTGCTAAATCGGCCACCACGTCGGCAGCTAGGATGGGAGGAGAGGCGCCGCACCGGAACGGTCAACGGCGGCGGAGGTGAGGTAGCGCATGGACAAGGGGGTTCTTTGCACGATTCTAGATGCACTGGAGAAGCTGCGTGAGGCCGAGACTTCTCGACGAACCTAGCCACGGAGAACGGAGAAGCGGGGCAACGGGTAGCGGATTTGGTACCACCTTCAGAGCCTGTACCTTCACCAGCCAGGGCGTCATATGACACCTCATGTGTCAATTTTAAGTTAAGCAGTGAATTAAGTCTAATCCAGGCAAGTTAGAGGATGATTATGAGCTTTAGTTTAACACTTTGCAAGTGGTGACAAAGGTGGAGTCAAACTTTTTCATTTAAGACCTAACTCAAAATTCTTTTGAAAGGCAGAAACAAATATCTTTTAGTTGACTTGTAATCTTTCAAAAATGTGCATGAACATTGTTAATCATCGAGCTTGTGTCATGTTTATCCATTTCATTTTTCAATTATAATATATATATATGTGTGTGTGTGTGTGTGTGTTTACATATGTTTTGTTATGTGTTACCATGTGATGTTATCAATAATATTGATTATGGTTCTTTGTGATTTTGTGGTTTGAAATTTTCTTAAACAATATAAAATATGCCAATATAAACTTGGTAGTACAAAGTGTGTTTTCAATATAGAATCAAAGTTGTGTTATGTTTCCAAGTCAAACATGTTCAAATTTAAACTCAAAGATTGAATTCAATAATTGATTCTCACACAACCATTTTGACTCACTGAAAATAGTTATTAAGTTCAATTTTGGGAGAATTATTAAGTGAATTTTCATGAATAAAAGTGGTACAACTTTTGTTTCATTGATTGGAGTAATGTTTGGTCTATGATAATGTGTAGTTGGTTGTGATGTTTGATTATTTGTTGCTCCCTAATTAATTCCCAAAGTTAGTAAATCAACTCTGTTTTCCAAAAAAATACTGAAATGAAATTCAGTTTCTAATTTCAAGTTTCTGTGTTCAAAATTCAAAATCGCTCAAACCAGTGGGAGTTTGACGTTAGTCCTGAAAGCAAAGATGGAGATCAGAGATAGATGAACAACTTTTGTTAATGGAGATCGTCAAGTTTCTAAATGGATCGAGTGAAAGAGAGGGAAGAACTGGCTCTGTCAAGTTCCTGCTCGGCTGCTCACTGTCGTCCGTCGTTCGCCTCGTGTCATCTGTCCCCTTCGCGACGTTTCCCGTGCTTGGACACGCTCCTACCTGCGTGGCCGCCTCGAGCAGGAACTGGTGAAGTTGGAGTTCACGTCCTCGTCGTTAAAACGCCAAGCCGTCGGCGTTCTCTCTCTGCGCCACCGCCAGGCTGCTCCACACGCGCCATCGCGCAGCCTCCACCCAATTCCTCTCGCAACTAGCTCCGCCTTTTCCTTGCGCGCTGCTTGCACCCACTCACATCACCTCTCGACATCGGGATCAGCCGTGCGCCGGTTTGCCACCACCAT